CGCTGTCCCGCGGCCGCCGGGGCGAGGCGGCAGCGCCGCGGGGGCGGCCCCGGGGACTCGGGCCGTGGGCGGCAGGGCGGAGGGGCACCTGTTTGACGACCGGCGCGGGATCGTGCGAAGCAGGGGGCGGCGCGTTCGTGGTGGGGCGAAGAAGCGGGGCACATCCTCGGGATAGCCGGGAAGGGAGGGCTGCGCGGAGCTCCGGCGCTCGGAGGGGCGCAGAGGAGGGACACTGGGCACACGCGTGGTGCGGGGCGGCAGGACAGTGAGGGGTGCCGGCACTGCCGAAGCAGCGCCTCAAACTCATCCTCGCCCCTACGTTCACCTGGGCTGCGCGGGGGGCCACGGCATCGTGGGGGACACCCCCGCCCCCACCGCCGCCCGCCGCGGAGGAGCCGGCCGGCAAGAGCGCACCTTACCTCGAAGAGGGGACCGATCTTATTCTTCTCCAGGTAGGCTTGGATCCTCGTCTGCTGGTGAGACGCCATGAAGAGCTCCGGAGGCGGGGGCTTGAGCTCGTCTTCCCCGGCGGCGGCTGCAGTCCCTCCGGCTGCTGGCGGCTCACTCCTGCTCTGCACAAGGGCTGCCACAGCGGGAAAGGGCGGAGGCGCTGCCAAAGTGCCCGGGACGGAGCTAACTCAGGTAACTGGGGCCGCGGGGAAGGAGCCGGGTGTCAGTCGCCCGCTTTGCCGGGCACGGGGCTGGCTGCCCTCAGGGAGCAGCGGGCGGGCGCTGCCTGGAGCGGAGCATGGTGCAGGGAGGAGGAGAGCAGCTACAAAGGCGGCCCCCGAGCCCGCGCCGCTCCGCGCTGCGTGTGTCTGTCAGTCCGTCTCTGCTCTGTGTTTCTGTGCCAGGCAGCGCCTTGGTGACGGGAGCGGCCGCGGCTCAGCGCTGCCGCCCTCGCCACAGCGCCGCTGCCGAAGCCGATAGCCGCGGGCTCCTGTCAGCTCCGCGGCCGCCGGCGCCCGTTGGCGCCCGGGCTCGGCGCACAAAAGGCGGGAGCGGGGGAAGGGGGAGGAGAGCGGGCGGGAGGCGGGGGCTGCTCTGCCTCCGCCGCTCCCCTGCCCGCCCGGCGACGGGCTTGCCCCCGGCGGAGCCGCAGCCCTCCCTCCCCGCCGGCTTTTGCGGGGTCCCCCAGCTGGCTCCGGTCCCCCGGGCGGGGGTGAGCGCCGCGGGCCGCCCGGCGTGAGGCACCTGAGCGGCACGCGAAAACTTCGGCTGGGGGAAGGTCGCGGAGGAGTGAAACGAGTCGCTGCCAGCACCAAGGACTGCAGCCAGCGCTTTCCCTTAATTTCTGTTTAAATAATCTTAAAATGCTACCTTTCTTATGGTGCCAATGAAATTCCCAATTAGGTACAGTGAGCATTTTAATGGAATAATTGGAGTAACTATGCAGGTGCATCCTGGTCGCAGGTTGAGTTCCAGCAAGCAGCCAAGGGCGTGATGGAGCAAGTGAGAAATATTTAGCTTGCTTCAGAGAGTAGTGAGTTAATAGGTACATCAAAGAATCAGTGTTTATTCTGTCTTCAAGTAATTAGTATCCCACCATTTCTGGAAGCAGGATCATAACCTTTTTTTTTCTCTCTCCCTCTTTAGAGAAAAATAAACAAAAACATGCTTCTTGGGGTTTGACACTTCTGTTCTTCTGCAATAACTGATTCTGCTGTACTAACATTAACCTGTTTCTTTAAAAAAATACCTTTCTTTTAATAAGGATTTTCTTTAAAAACACAAAACAGCTTTGAAGACTATTGGGAACATTCAGCACAACTGCTGAATCAGACTGCCTGTTCCCAATCAAGCAGTGTTCTGCAGATGCAAGAGTACAAGCATCTCCTGATTCAGAAATCACTAAAGAAAAGGATGAATTTTGTCAGGAGTCAAAAGATCCTGAGTTCCGCTCTCATTGACTATTGTTTGACTTCAAAGTCCTCCGTACTGACCTAAACCTCAAGCTTCTACCTAGAAGGAGGTCAAGTGTAAGTGTATTACAAAGAGCTTGCAGCACATCCTGTAGTGTAAGCAGTAGCCTGTAGAATTCTTTAATGATTTGGTAGAATGTGCTCATCCCAGCCTTACTGAGGCAGTGTTTGTTTCCATAGTAGTCATTTAAAAATGGCACATTTTTTTTATTTGCATTCTCAGTGGGTAGTCTTCTAAAATTCATATCAACTCAGAGTTTTAGTGTTTCTTCTTCAGCAAAGTATTGCCTGGTGCCACCTACATAATATGGTGCTAAGCTAGTTTAATCAGCCTAATGAGGATCATACAATCATAAGGGTAATTGCCAGTGATTCAGGTTCTCTACAGTGGCTCTAATGAGTCCCATCAGATCAGGATGTTTGTAAAATTTCATCAATCTCACCAGAACGCAGACTGCTCCAATAAGTAAAAGTCTCCCACTTTGTAAAATTATGCCCCCTCCTATGATGCAAAAATGAGAGCATATGTTTCTATAGCCCTACACAGCCTGACTTCTCAAAGTAGCAGCACCTCCAGACCTGTAGGGACATGGCCATATCAGGACCTGCTAAGTGTCACTGCTCTGTGTAGACCAGGAAGAGGACTGAAGAAAAGAAACAAGACTGTCAGCAATATGAATAGAAAAGAGAATTTATTAAAGGAGGTTTTAAAGATAGCATAACTTTCTACTGTTGTATATTGTACAATTAGATAGATGCCAAGATCTCACTGTTAAAACCTCAGAGTTTTGAGGATTTCTGTGTTTTGGTCCCACTGAATGACAGAATGGTTGAGATTGGAGGGGACTGGTCCAAGCTCCCTGCTACAACAGACTCACAGCTCATTACCCAGGACTATGTCCAGATGACTTTTGAATATCTACCAAGGATGCTGGATTTTCTTGGTGTCTGTTGTCATTCTTGCTTCCTTTTTCCCTAGACCATTTTTCCTTCTCTTAATTCTCACCCAGACATATAATCTAGATTTTCCAGTTGGCTTGGGAGACACAGTAGCAATCCTGCTGTGGCTGGGAAGCCTTCCAAGGCCAAATGTAGAATTAGCTTTCTAAACAGGCATGTCTTGTAACCCCCACAGCTCCCATGAGACTTAAGTGACAGGTTATCCTTTGATATGGATTAGGTACTTTAGAGAGACATGAACACAGACAGTTCCTTACCAAGAGCTTCATGATACTGTTACCTAGCTGAAGGTATTCAGCAGTTCCCTGACGGAAAAGCTTTCTGAGTGCTAAAATATGGGAGTTTAGGTGTCTCCTGCAGAGAGCATAGGCTGAGTGACAGTATACTAGGAAAAGGAGCTTTACTGATAGCAGTCTTTTCTCTTTTTTCCCAAGAAAGCACAAAAACTGTTGCTAGGTTTACAACAAGCCACACCAAATTAGCAATAAGTAAATACATGTGATTTGCAAATAAGTACAGAAAGCTGGATATGTCCCTGCTGTCCTCTTAGTTGTTAGGGGAAAAACATTTTCAAAATTTAATTACAATATTCTACGTTTTTAAAACTGATATTAATACAGTCTTTTAAAATTAACTTTCATCTTAATAACAAAGTAAAAAATATCTTTGATTTAAATTACTGGTTTAGGCATGCCTGAATTTTTTATTACTTTCAGCAGCCTTTTTGTATGAGCAACTGAACAGTAAATTACTTTACAAGCTAAGTAATAAAATATGGTCTCTGTATTGCGCTTTGCTATGGTCCTCGTTTCATTTCATGGATATTTTTCTTTCAGGAGCAGTATACAGCATGCACATCTACATAACACTCAGCAGTGAACTGCAAGAACAGAAGTGACTGAAAGGATTTGCACACAGGCACCAAAAAATGAAAAGTATTCCGAGAAAAAATATATTCCTCTCACAAAACAAGATTCCCAAAAAACAAGGAGAAAGAGTCAAAATAACAGGGCTAATTTTAAGATGCTTGTGACCACACTATTCAGTTCTTATCCTGTGTCTGTGATATCTGAGATCCCTGCTTCTTACCATCGTTATGTTAGTGGGTTTCTCACCCTACAATCTTTTCTTCAAGAGAACAGTGTGCATTTTCTGATAGGTCCTTTCTGGTTTGACTTACTTAGTTCAAGGACTTTGCTAGAGTAGGGACCCATTAAATAATTCCATAGTATTCTACATCATTTCAGTCCTGCCATCCATTTGTCAGTTTTTCAGGTTTGCTACAGTTCCAATGCTGAGCACTGAATTTTCTAAGTTACAGTCAGTTGCAATACCCATTCATCATTGCCAGAGTTAAGTTACCCGGGCTTCACATGCAAAGGTGTTCTTCAGGAGTCAGAGCTGCCACTGCCTAGCAGAAAAGGAAACTGATGACTTGGCTGGCTGTAAAAGTACTCCGTGGGTCACAAATACCAAGTGCCAAGTCAACAATTTTTTTCCCTTCTGGCTAAAATTTGATCCATATGCTCTGTACGAAGTTTATTTTTTGAGATGGCATCTGGAGTACAAAAGAGACATTACAATCTGAGAGAAATATAATGGCAATATATGAATTTATTACAAACATTTAAATGGCTTTCTTTAAATGGCTTTCTGATTCCCATTAAGTGCTTTATGTTTCAGCTATCAAAAGTCATCAGAAATTCCTTAACAAACCTTTCAAAAACAATTACAGAGAAGAGAAAAAGTAGCAGGTACATCAAAAGAGGTGGTATTCATCAAAATCTGGTGATGTTTTCCTTAGAAAGCTTTCTGTTTTGCCAGTGTTTCCATTCATGTAATAACTCTACAACAGAGATTTCTTCTTCCATTACTGTGGTTGTTTCTATTGAGCTTGATAGTCTATGCAAAGTCATTGTCTGTTTCATGAAGAGCTAAGAGCCATTAGTCAACAGCTGACTAAATGCAGTTCTTAAAGTATCCTCGTACTTAAAAAAAAAAAAAGGAACTGAAGTTACATCCAGGAGAATAAAATCCCTGAGTTCCTGCACTTTGTAAATAAGACATTGTTTTTTATTGCCACAGCATAGCCTTGGAACATTACAAACCCCTGTTGTAAAATTTTCTGAAAAAGCACACATACACACACACACTGGCTAAATATTGCAATGCTCCAAGCTGTTTAAAATAATGAAGGTCTAGCAGTTCCTGACCTAGCAAGCTGTCATCTTGCTTTTTATTTAGTATTCCCCTAAAAATGAATGTGCTCGAATAGCATGTTCTCAAAAAAAATGGAAGCATCTTACTGTATTATGCTGAAATATCCAATTTACCTTTTATCCCATATCAAGTTAAGTGACAGAATTGGGAATAATATCACTGGAGGACTGATTTTGTATGCTTAATTTTATCTGGTGGGGGTTTTTTAAAATGTACTCAGTAAATGATAATATATCCACAAGCTTGAGTTCAAGGAAACTCAAATATCCTTTGTATGGTTTTCTGTTCACACCAAGATAGGAGCCATGCAACTTCAAAACCTGGACTTGACCCAAGCTTGTTGTAAAGAGCAAGAATTTCTTTGCCTCTTCGTTCTCATAGAGAAT